ATTATCTGCTTATAAAACATCTTTGCTACTACATTTTGTCTGTACACCATTTTAAAGGTCTATTTAATCCTATTGTTTATAAATATGAAAGTTATCTCTTCTTTCAGTGGCATTTAGAAGTTGGTGTGATGAAGAAAGACAAGTTTTATGGATGAACAACTTCTTTATTACAATTAGTGCGACGTTTCAGAGTAGATCCTAACACCTTTATCAAGCAAGTGATGGATAGTGCTGAACAACATAGGTATATATATGCTTATTAACATCAATGTTTATACAGTAAATTGATTGATGGACACAGAGAGCTGATTTATCAGTGATTAAGATGATTGGAAGCCAGTGAATGACTAATGGGGCAGGGTAAACAACCGTGCCGTCAACATCTGTTCCACGCCACAACAGCTACAAACTGAACTCAACCACCTCCACCATGTCTTCACTAACTTCAACAATTATCCTACCAGCCTAGTTGAACAAACAATCAACAGCATCCTCAGCCCAAGAGAGCAGCCTCCACGACAACAGACAGCCCCGTTTGTCATCAGTCTTCCCTACATAGGAACAGCCAGCCACCAGATCCGCAGACTGCTCAAACACCACGCCAACATTGATACAGTATTCCAGAGAGGCAGGACAATCCAGAACATCCTCAGTGCCAATGGCAGGCCCTCTACATGAAACAAAGAAGACCCAGCTGGTGTCGTATATCACATACAATGTGACTGTGGCGACTCCTATGTAGGTGAAACATCCAGGCCCCTACCCATTAGAATAAAAGAACACAAGACCTCAGTACATAAAAATGACTCAAAATCAGCCATCTCCAACCACAGCCAAACCCACCCCTACCACAACATCCAGTTGAACAACATCAAGATCCTGGTCAACAATCAGTCAGACTACAAAATCAGAAAACTCCTAGAAGCCATCTACATCAAAAGGATCCAGCCAGCAATGAACAGAGATCAAGGCTACTACGTCCCGCCTGCTTACCATCACCTAATTGCTAAATCCCCATGTCCATCCAATTAATCCACTGGCTTCCAATCATCTCTATCAGTCTGCTTGCTGACTCTGTGTCCATTAGACTATTCACTGGCTTCTAATTTACTGGCTTCCAATCATCCCAATCAGCTTCCGTTGTTTACCCTGCACCATTAGTCATTGACTGGCTTCCAATCATCTTAATCAGCTCTCTGTGTCCATCAATCAATTTACTGTATAAACATTGATGTTAATAAGTATATATACCTATGTTGTTTAGCACCACACACCGTGTGCGAAATACGCATCAGTCGGAAAGCGCACGTTAAATCTCCAAAGTAAGTAAGTAAGCACCACAAGGCTCTTACTCTAGAAGCAATACTAAACCCACAAAATAAATTAGAAAACTTCAAGGCCTTAGGCGTATTCTTGATAAAAACAGAACTAATAAAACGCATCTAAAAACACAATAACCAAACAAACATCCACCATACCCAGCTCCCTTAGTTCTCCTCCCCAATCCCATCGGCACCTATTCCAAATCTCAAAATTCCCAAATTCTATATAAGCAACCCCTAAAACCCCCCTCTTGGGTTGCACAGACCACTTTCGCCCCTTTCGGAAACACATTAAATGGCCTGGCCGGGCCCGTGTGCAAAATACGCATCAGTCGGAAAGCGCACGTTAAATCTCCAAAGTAAGTAAGTAAGTAAGCACCATCCATCACTTGCTTGATAAAGGTGTTAGGACTAATTGTAATAAAGAAGTTGTTCATCCATAGAACTTGTCTTTCTTTATGAAAGTTATGTTTATTATATTTTTTATATAATTCATTTACAACTTAATTACGTTTGTTGTAAATTAATAAAGGTAAGCTAACACATTCACAATGTCCAGTTTAAGGACAAAGGAAGCGAAAATTTAACGATTGTCGGCAGATAGGCCTATAAGATTTCATAAAATACACTTACCCATTTCTTTTTTATCTTTATCATTTACGTAATCGGAAACTTATTTTAAAAAGAATTACAAATAACATCTGTCACCACCCATTTCCCAATAATTGTGACTGTCCACTCACTAAAATGAGGAAATACCTCTGTTTTCAAAGCTGCGTATGAATAACATGTACATCGAAATAATGATAACACGGAAGTAACATCCACTGAATTTTTTCGTAGCTGTAACATTCGATTGTATTGGATAAAAGTTGGTTTCTAATGACGCTTTCTTACCAAAATCTACAACAAGATTCGTGATTGGTCAAATTTAAGCATGTGACCTAAGGCAGCCAATCAAGTTACAGCAACGGTACCGTCCTCGTGTATGATAATATTCAGATCTTGACGAAAGGTTTTGGTTAAATCACGTTATTTTGAATGTTTTAAGCAGGAAATCGCGATCCATATTACAAATATGGAACTTCAAGGATGTATCATGGTAGGTTATGAGCTGTGACAAAGATTTTTTATGCACATATTTTGGCATTAAACATCGTGTCCGATCCTATGAATCGAGGCTACGAAAGTCGAGATGTCATTTGACTTACATTACATGCGATCGCACAAAAAGATGGAAATAATAACTGATTTCAATTTGGCAACTTTTCGATATATTTTTGTTGATATAATTATCACTTTGTATAATATATTTAAAGATTTGCTTGAAACGTCTTTATTTTGCTGTTTGACACATAAGATGAGGACCAGTTGTCGAAGTGTGTGTCTGTGAATTTTATTTTCAATAACATTGCGGGAAACTTCTAGAAAATAATTAAAGATGCATCTCATTTATTTAACTAATTCAAAACAATTTGTTGTCGATAGGTAAAGCAACCACTGTAAACACCATGCCTGCTGTGAGTTATAATATCTTGCTGTGAAAGCTATTTCCTGGCATGCCTAGCCACTATGTGTTCTTGCCCAGCCCCCACTCGACATGCTCTAAGCATCATTGCTGCTAAAACAGAAAATACTTTATGGACAGGATGAAAATTCAGCAAATAATTTCAGGACATATTAAAAAAGGAAATAAGTTATTTGTACCAATATCAATTTTTTTAAGCATCGATACATCATACAGTAGTGTATAATCATAATAAAATATACATGATATATGTAGCCTGCAACCTCGGGGTATCGCGGTACTTGTCATGTACGCTAAACGGAACAAAATGCACTCACTAACCTTTATGATTATTCGTGTTCTCTATATCAGATGTCAATTTTTTTTATCTAATAATGCATATTTTACTGATAAAAGTTCATTATTTACATTAGAAGCTCTGAGTAAAAGCCAGGTCTCGCGCTTTGATTGCCAAGGGAAAGAACTCCATCGTATTGCAGCACAGAGAAAAGTTGTGTATGGAGGTCCGAATTGGATAAAAAGAGGACATAATTTTACCAACCACTTGGTATGATCATGCCAGACATCAGTGATTTGTCCAGACAAGTGCAAAGACAGGATAAGTAAAATTCTAAATGTGTTATCAGTAATCGGTTTTCAATACATGTTTAGTGAAAAGTAAGAGAAAAATATTTTAAAAATCAACAACAAAATATCAGAAATGATAATCTAAGATTCTTTATAAAAAAATTGGATGACAATAATATGTCACAAAATGGAACAATGTTTAACGTCAACAATAAATATATAAAAAGCACTCCTAGTATGCCCAAAGTATGTATTTATCTTTTGGCTACTAGCGAAGAACGTATTTCTAAGTTTGGCATTATGGCCCTTATGATCTCCCAATAGATTCTTGGCACAGAGCGGGAAAAAATGTGCGGACTATGTAACTTCCGTTACCTTATTAGTCTCCATGAATATGAAGATGATCTAGTTCAATTCAATAGAGAAACTTTACTTGGGGAACTGCGGGTTATATCGTTGTCCATTGATAGATGGGGGTAAGGCAATATTAAAAAAGATCACAGAAGTATGTATCAACGTATTAATAACTCCTTACTTACAGCAGACGGAACATTCCGTGGAAATTGAAATTGTTTACGAAGTGAACACTTCCTGGTTACTCATTTGCATTAACAGACAGCTGCTAAGAGACGTGTCCCGCGTGAACTACAGGAAATCACAAATGCCGCGATACGATGAATGACGCGGTACCACAGGGTCCGAGTATATATTTTGATAATCAGTATCAGCACTACCCACTAGCATCAGCTCAACATGCTATATATATATATATATATATATATATATATATATATCTGTCTCTGTGTATGGGTGGGTGCCAGATGAAATCCCAAAGGAACACACGTTTGTCACTTTTGTGAAACTGCAAGCATGGCTATGATGCCGACAAATAAAGAATCATTGTAGATAGGGTAACTAAATATGAGATTCACACCCACGGCCCCAATATATTTTGACTAACAGAAGATGTGGCACCTTCGAATAAATGCTACCAGTTTCTATCATACTAACCTGTGGACTAGTAACGGTCATGATAATGGAGGCACACTGAAATTTCATTTTGTATTTAACATCCTCTTTTAGCAACATGGCCATGTTTACACGTTCTAACCATGAAAAACGATCATATGATGGAAACATTTATAAAAAAAAAATGACTTAAAAATAAACATTGCAGCCATAAAGTGATAATAACACATGACATGTTTTTTTATTCTGTTCGCAATTTCGTAGGCTAGATGTATTTATCATTTTGCCTAGGCTATTTTGGGACGAAAGTCTAAAAGTTTGACAAATAAATGTGTATTTTGTAAGGCCTAATCTGTTGATTATATTGATTCCTAAAATTAAATAAAACCAGTACGACTACTCGATGAATTTTTCTGCAATTGTTTCATGTCAACCATGTCACAAGTTGACACTACCATCCCCACTCGTCACGAGACATTTACATTTGACAATGTCAGAAGTCACACAAGATGTTCAACAGCTCTGTCAACTATCGAACAGTTTACAAATGTGAGCAAGCGCATGCACTTTTCACAAACTTGTCCACGTCACAATTAACTCAGATAACTACTTACGTCCTATGTGTTAACGCAGCAATGTGAATTCACATAATTTCTTGACAACATCTTTCCGACATGATGGTTACTTGACGTCATTTAGGTCATGTGACGAATCACCTGACAGAGGGATTCCCTTCCGGTGTGATAAGACTATTTGCCACACAACTACCGTAGGTATGACATGTATCGTGCTTGAAATGAGATTTTCTTTTTTAATTAAACAAAAAGTAGAGTTACAAAATGTAACAGCTTATTTAGTATAATAATACCATAGAGAGCCGTTTTTAGCATATTTCATGGAAGCAAATTAATATGTAATACCAGCCCGAAACGATGTATAATATTCTTATTCTCTGGTTATCCGCAGCGCAAGATTGCTATGTCAACATGCTGTCATGGTAGGTAACATTTTTTGGGGTGGGTTGGCGGTGGGATATATTCTTTTTACTTTTACGATAACGTGATATTCCCCAAGTCATTGAAACCCACCAGGGCCTCATAATATTAGATTTGTCCCCTGAGTCGTTGGAACACAAACACTCGAGTCTGACTAAACCAGATCCTTTATCGAGTACTCGATTTCCTGTCAGAGCCCTACGATAAACAACGGACTCAAGGAGCCTCCCGGAAATATCAGCTGCGCAACGTGGTCGACCGTATACCGACGTGGAACGTTGCTCATGCTATCAACCACGGGTCTGCCTGGCCCCGGGTGCGGTTATTTACAGGCTTCGGGATATTGCTGGCTGCGGCTTAAAACAACAAACAAACTTTGGGGAACAATCGCCTACTGTTTTCCAGACATAAAAAATTTAATGTTACCTCAATATTTCTGTAAATATCCAACTGAAGAAAACTTTATCTTCCTAATGGTTGGTTTGTTTTTTTGGTTGCTTGTTTAACGCCACACTTAGCAATATTCCAGCTATATGACGGCGGTCTGTAAATAATCGAATCTGGACCAGACAAACCAGTGATTGATATCATGGGCATCGATCCACGCAGTTGACATGTATCAACCAAGTCAGCGAGCCTGACCACCCGATCCCGTTAGTCGCCTCTTACAACAAGCATAGTCGCCTTTTACGGCAAGCATGGGTTGCTGAAGACCTATTCTACCCCTGATCTTCACGGGTCTGTGAACGGTGAAGCTGTCAGTGTATTAGCATACGCGGATGATATTGTACTTCTGGCTGAAAATGGAGAGGATCTTCAAAGTATGCTGTCAGCACCGAACAGTTGGTGTTTCGAGTATGAGATGTCCATTAGCCAAGTGAAGTCAAATGTGGTCCACTTTAGAGGGCCCTCCTTGCCAAGATCGGAAGTTAATTTTGGGTGTGGTGATATGAGTTTGGAAGTGAAGGACCAATACTCTTACCTGGGTGAGGGAGTGAGTTGAGATTTAAAGTCACATCGGCAATATTTCAGCCATATCGTGACTAAATCAAGTTGTACATTAATAATACATAAGTATAGACATAAAAATCTGTCGACAAAGGACAGTAAATAACACTAGACTATCACAGATGTAGATTTGAAACTATCATATAATCATAATATTTGAACAATTCCTAACAGTACACAATCAAAATGGGCTACAGATCACCAATAACCAAAGGTAGGTCACCATACTAGGTACCATGGGGACTTACGATAGTTCTGCTACCTACATAGTAACCCAGCTCTCCCACCTGGGAATGGCCCTGAGTACCTGAACTACAATATCATGGCTAAATGCGCGGTGACGTCTGCAAGCAGAGCTTTGGGTCTGCTGATTGCGAAATACAAAAGCCTGGTTGGTTTGCCTTTCAACGTTTTCACGAAACTTTATGATTCAGTGGTTGGGTATATCCTCGATTATGGAGCTGGCATCTGGGGAACGTATGACCATTCAGCATGCAGTTAACGCCCTTCAACACAGAGGTATCCGTTGTACAACAGAAGAGAGAATAAGGATTTTTCCGTGGTCAGCTAGCTGAAACAGAAAGAATTGCTCACACAGAATGGCGTCAGAAACTCGTAGAAACCTCTAGGTATAACCGTTCTTGTACTGGTTTTATAATAAGTTGTGAAATTATACAAACAGTTGAACAGTATGAACAGTATTATCAGAGGCATACCTTGTTCAGCATTTACTCACGGCTCACAAAAGAGCACTTGCCAAGTTCCGATGTCGTGTAGCACCATGACGTATTGAAACAGGGCGTTACGAAAATGTTCCCTTTAATGTGTTTTAATTGTAAAATCTGTGTGGAAGAAGAGAAGCATGTTTTAATCAAATGTCCTGCGAACAGTTTTATACGTCATAACTTGTTTGCTGTTTGTAACAGTAAAATTCGTATTTTTTTAGGTTTACAAAATGACGACCAGTTCCATACTGTTTTGTCCAGTCCATTACTGATCTTAGACGCTTCCAAAGCCTGCCACAGCATTTTAGCTATAACACAAGGTATTTTATATAAATAATTTAAAAACCTATTTTTCATATGAAAATATATTGTTTGAGTGTCTTCCAAAATTCGCTAAGCGATTGGTTGTAAATTATTGTTTCAAGTGAGACGTTCATAAATAAATCGACCGCCTCCGTGGTCTAGTGGTAGAGCGTCCGCCCGGAGAGCGAAAGGCTCGAGGTTCGATCCCCGGCCGCGTCATACCAAAAGACGTTATAAGATGGTCTTTGTTGTTACCCTGTCTGGAGCTTGGCATTAAGGGACTAAAACAAGGACTGGTCGGCTCGGAGTCAGTATACTGTGTCTGAGTGGGGTATTCATGTTAAACTGCGGCATGGTATCTCGGTGGGCTAGCACTATAAATCGGCATCAGTCCGGACTAGTACAAGCAGCCACACACACAGTCACACACGTGCATGCACGTCGCTATATAAGTGAAATAATCTTGAACGCGACGTTAAACTCCATTTCACCTCACCTCATAAATATATCGGTCTATCTGTCTGTCTGTACCACCCACCCATTATAATCACTGTGCTTGTACTGCCGGACCTACAGTTCAGGAAAAAAACAGATCGAGTGCTAACTAAGCGCCAGTACAGTTCATATGTTGGATATAATATCGCTAATTTAAGATTTTTTAAAGTGAAATTCAAACATATGGCAACATGAACTGAAAGGGATAGTTTCTTTTGCCTCTCAGTTTATTTGTTCATTGTGAGGATTGTTCATGAGATGCCTTCTAACTGGGGATAATCTATCTATCTATTTTTACTAGAACCAGAGTGTATTATAGAAATCGGCCGCGGCTTGTATTCTTCTAGTTTGAGTTAACCCGGTGTCTTCTAGAGAACCAGCATCTTTAAGAAGAAATGCGGTACTATTTGTAACCATGTCAATCTCATTAAAATCAGACCTGATTTAAATGAGATTGTACCCTGTAGATGTGATTATTCATCGTGCATTGGCAAAGAGTTGTTCAGGGTCCACACATATCCTCAGCAATTGTTTGTTTAGAGAGTTCGTTGGCCCAATTAAGCCATGACTGTATTTTACACGGACTATGTATAGTGTCAATGATTTTACATGTAAAATACAACGGATGCTCTGCGCGATGGAGACCATACTAATCAGTAGTCGTATGTGTAATAGTATCGGTCATCGTCCTTTTACACTACGCGCTGCCAGTGCTTGACATCTGTTGCCCCAGTTAACAACTACAGTCAACAGTCATTATAGATCAGGATAATATCACAAACACTGGGTGTTGATATTGATATCGTAGTTATGGATAAGCGCTCTGTGTTCAATTTGGGGTTATTATTATTGTTTTCGATCGAGAAATAGTGCGTGACAACACCGGAGTTGTATATAGATAGGCCAATATTGGGCTCGCACATATGTTAGCCTTTGGACGTCGATTTATATGAACTGTTTCATAACGCAATTACTCTTTGACAATTCGTAAATCCTTACTACACTTGTGTATATATAGACGACCATTTTTAATTCCCAAAACACAGTTACGAATCTAAAATAATATGCTTAGATCGACTAGATTCAGGGGGGAAAAGAAAGTCGTTATTGGTGTTTGCTAAAGTTAAACGTTTTTTTTCATAGCTTGTTTTAATATAGTCTTACACTAAACACGGACCTATATACAAGTCCGTGCACTAAAATTGTATGGACAGCTGGCCACACGCTCACTGTAATGTGTAATGATAACATCTCAATGTCGCGGTTGTATATTAGTATATATTTATAATCGCGCCAAACATTGTGTAAAGCTCGCTGAAATGGATGGACAGGTCTGTTCTGATTTCAGACAAATTACGTTTGTTTATGCAAACAAGAAAAAAGGTCCAGTCACGTGATATGCAGATTGGCTTGAGGCAGTGCATTCGTCACCACTCGCCCCTTTCCGTAACCCGCAATTCGGCTTGTCCCGGAATAACACGAGTTGGATACGAATGGAGGCAGTGTGTGTAATGCTAACGAATTCCATGTTTCGTCAGGAACATATTGCTTCTAATTATCAATTGCCTGACCCGAAGTACTAGAAATTCCTGTTTATACTAGAAATGATTCCATTCTAAAGAAAATGTTGAAATTTATTGCAACCTGCCATCACACTGAATGTCAAAATTAACCGCCATTGTTATCATAGTATCAATTGTTTTGTAATTGTTATAATTTTATACTCTTGCATCACCGTCGTTGGTGATTTTAAAATAAAGAATTCACTATAGAACTGCCTCGTCATCACTGCGCATCACTGACTGTTTGTAATTCTTGGCATACATCATACCAGTGTTTGTAAGTTTTTTCCAGTGTTATAAATAAGGCGTGATGGAGTAGCCGGGTGGTGGTGCTAGCTCTGACTGAGTTGGACACACGCGTACCACCCTCTCACCACCCGGCCCCGAGTCTAAATAAACATATCCATTTCCATCCTCCAGGCTCTCCAACCCTTCACCCCTTCCTGCCCATAATATCAAATGGTCCGTCCCCAGGAACTGGGGCCGCCTCGGGTAGAGCGTCCGCCCGGAGAGCGGAAGGTCCGGGGTTCGATCCCCGGCCGCGTCATACCAAAAAACGATAAAAGATGGTACTTGTTACCCTGTCTGGCGCTCGGCATTAAGGGGCTAAAACAAGGACTGGTCGGTTCGGAGTCA